TTAAATGTTTTGCCACTTGCTTGAGCAACTTAATATATAAATCTAGAAGTAAATGCAAAAGTAAAAAGTATTGAATAATGTGTTGCTTATATTTATTGTGTTTAAACGTGTCTGTGAATGATTGTATTACTGTACTGTGTAAAACAAAGAATTGCAATGCTGGAAAAGCATTTTCAGTGACAATGTTTGGATTTGAAATCAAAATAATGAATACATGTTGTGTTGCCACGGATCATAGCGTACTCTTCTGTGAAAGCAGTCCGTGCTGCTTCCCCTCTCACAAGAGTCACCTAAGAGGGGAATTCCCCCCATTTTCAAAAATGAAATTCAGTCCCTGAATAAATGTCTAAAAATCCTGATTGGAGTATCACTATAAATAGTTATAAATTATAACAAGAAGGCTTTAAAAAATCGGTATTGGCAGATACTGCTTTCTGTGATCGCGATCGGTGATCTGCCTCAAAAATCCTGATCGGAGCACCCCTATTTATCACTCTTGCTTTGTGACAACCCTAACCCTAAGAGCAGACGAAGAAGAATAAGAACACCAATGGATACAATTGGTGCCTACTTCGGTGCTTGGCCCCTAATAATAACAATTCTAACAGATACAATAGGTGCCATCGCACCTTCGATGCTTGGCCCCTAAAATAAGAACTCCAGTGGATACAATAGATGCCTATGCACCTTTGGTGCTTGGCCCCTTATAAATGTATTGTTCATTGTTTGTTCATGTTAGTTAAAGGTGCTCTATGTAAGTTTTTGACTCTACTAAAGCATAAAAATACCATAATGTGTTTGCAGATATTTAAGAAACATGCTAAGTTAACATACTTGTTTATCTGAAAAACAATGCTACAGTCAGTTATTCTCCTTTCAAAATGTGCGTTCCGTGTCGCAATGTCTGTTTTTGATTTGGTCTGTGTGACTCCACCCTCTGCCAGTTTGCCCAATTGTATTTCGGCACCCCAGGTTGCCGTTTGGCGGAAAACACAGCATATTTCATTTCAGTCATGGAAGCTGCCAAACAAAAGGGGTCAGAGTCAGAGATCGGACATCCTAAACAGCTTCGGCATCCATCCAAAAAAGAATATTATCAACGGTATAATAAAAGCCGTATAAATATTGGAGATGTGTTTGAGAGATGGAGACAGCTTGAAACAGACAAAGGTATCAAAATGAATGTTGAGTTGTCTAATTTTATCTTTGACAGGTAAATAATTAGCTAAAGTTAGTTAGCTGATGTATCCTGGCTACTAGTAGGAATATTTTAAGTAAATTCAACATTCAGACAGTACTCGTGTTTACACTGTTTCATGGTACCTGGTTGTTAAGGCAGCGTATATTTGAGACAGTGTGGCCGACTAGTGCAGAGGTGCAGACGGGTCATGGCTGTTTATCTCATCGGTAACAACCATGACAGAAAACTACGAAATGCGAATACGAAATTTTATTTAATTTACCAATGCAAATGCAACTGAATTAGTTGATGTGGTGAAATTATGCTGACGTACATTGCTAGGTAGACACTTCTGTTATATTATTTTTTTAGCTACAAGGGTCCACGCACCTCAACCTTTAAAAAAAAAAAATTTCAATATTCAATTAAAACAATCAATGACCCTGTAAAAAAACCCATTAATTTCATATAATTATTTACACAATTTTGATTGCTATGTAAATACATTCATGCCACTTCTGAACAGTCTGTGTAAATATACCTAAATGGCACTTCAGATGCAGCTTCTGAAAACAATGTTATGGACACACTGGAGACATAGGTTTTAAAATATTTATTTCTAAAGCCACTTGTTTGTAATGTCTGTATATAATGATGTGGGGGATATTTTCTTGTCACAGCATCATCAATGCCTCAGCCTATCTAGAGTATTATTGCTGATCATGTCCATCCCTTGATGACCACATCTTGTGATGGCTAATTCCAGAAGGATAATTCTCTATGTCACAGAGCGTGAATCATTTCAAACTGGTTTCTTGAATATTACAATAAGTTCACTATACTCTATATAATGGTCTCCTCAGTCACCAGATCTCAATTCAATAGAGCACCTCTGGGATGTGGTGGAACAGGAGATTCGCATCATGGATGTGCAGCCGACAAATCTGCAGAAACTGTGTGATGCTGTCATGTCAATATGGACCAAAAGCTCAGAGGAACAAAGAATTTAGGCAGTTCTGAGGACAAAAAGAAGGCCAGCCCAATACTAGCAAGGTGTATCTAATAAAGTGGCTGGTGAGTGTATATATACACTCACCCGCCACTTTACTCGGTAAACCTGTTAAACTTTTCATTAACACAATTATCTCATTGGCCAATCGCATGGAAGCAACTCAATGCATTTAAGCATGTAGAGATGGTCAAGATGATCTGCTGAAGTAAACAAAAAATTAACACCTTATTCTGTCTGTTCCTCAAATTAAGCTATCAAATATCTTCAGAAAACCTAGAATATAGTGCACACAAATGCTTATGAGGTCTTTATAGCAGTTTCTTGTCCTCTTTGGAGTTTTGCAGTAACAGCTATAATGCACAGTATCAGATTTGGATCGGTCTGACCAATACCTGATCTGGCAAAATGTTTTTAATGTTTTATAGTCTATTTTTTATCTTTTTTTATTTTTTTATTATTTAGCATCAAACAATCAACAGTAGGTTGTAATATAGAGTATTACACTAGCAACACCAAGGTCATTGGTTCGATTCCCATGAAAAGCAGAAACTGATAAAATGTTTACCTTGAATGCAATTTAAGTGGCTTTGGATAATTTGTGATACTTTTTTTCAGGATTATTTGATGAATAAAAAGTTAAAAAGAGCAGTATTTATTTAAAATAAAAATATTTTATAACAAGATACACTACTGTTCAAAAGTTTGGGGTCAGTAAATTTTTTTTCTTTTTTGAAAGAAATGGCTACTTTTATTAAGCAAGGATGTGTCAAATTGATAAAGTGATAGTAAAGACTTGTATCGTTAGAAAAAAATTTATGTTTTGAATAAATGCAGTTTTTTTAAAACATTTCTTTTCATTTCTAATTCCAAATTTGATGTGAGATTAATTTGTGATTAGATTAATTAATCACCACATTGTGTAATTAGATGAATTTTTTTAAATGCTTGACAGCCCTAAAATACATGTGTGTGTGTGTGTGTGTGTGTGTGTGTCACAGCTCAGCAAAGCTGCACTTGATAGATTGTTACAGCCACAGTTGTATTAACAATAAGTTTAAAGGTGACATATCATGAAAATCTGACTTTTCCAGGTTTTAAGTGCTATAATCAGGTCCCGGTGCATCTACCAACCAAGGAAAGGTGAAAAAGATTAACCCAGTAACTTTGTTTTGGTAAGCCTTTTTCTGCAAGCTTCTGAAAAAAACGAGCGCGTCTGATTTTGCTCCCTTGGTGACGTTGCAAAGGGATCTCATTATAATATTACCGCCCCTTAATCTGCACGTTTCCACCCACGGCACCGTCATTTTGATTTTGCAAGTGACAACGGTGTACCAGGTCTAATGCCATGGCGAAAGTTTGAACAAAACATGCTAACTGTTCTGCCTTTGGCTGCACAGATGAGCACAGAACACTTTAGAATCCCAGCCTCAGAGGAGACAACAGAGCAGTGGATTTATTGATTTATTTACTGTATATTGCTGCTGCCACACAGATCTAAAATAAACATGCAATTTATTTCCCAGCTGTTTACCTTCACAGACATAACCGACTGTTTTTGTAACTCATGTGTTTTTAACGTAAACTTGTGTGTGAATGAGAACTTAGTTTGGTACTCACATGCTGTGACAGCCGCTTTCTCTACGTGTGCACTCAGAAAACCTTATATCAGAAGTTTAAACTTATATAGTTTAAAGCGCATGATTTCAGCACGATAAACATGGTAATCAGAACCAAAATATGTTTTTTTGCAGGATCAAGCTGTAATGGCGCAGCCAGTGTTGCAAAGAATTGGGCTACTTTAACACTGTTGCCGCGGGTTGTTTTTCATGTCTGCGGGTTGAAGCGACCCAAAAAACGTGATATTTAGCCCCTGGAATGTGAAGTTTAAAGGGGGACCCCCCTCGAAATGCGATTGGGCTAGTTTTGAGTAGCGATTGTACGGGTTTTTTTGTGAAAACCTGGCAAACCTGGGCGCAGCTCTATTTTGGAAAAGGGGGCGGGAAGCAGTAGCTATTTTGCGTTTAAAGAGACAGGCACAAAAAACACTGTGTTTCTGCTTCCACTCAAAATAGGCATTTTCAAAATGATATAATGAATGAGCTGTGGGGTATTTTGAGCTGAAACTTCACAGATACTTTCTGGGGACACCAGAGACTTATATTACATATTGTAAAAAGGGGAATAATATGTCTCCTTTAAAGGGGTCATATGGCGTTGCTAAAAAGAACATTATGTTGTGTATTTGGTGTAATGAAATGTGTTTATGCGGTTTAAGGTTAAAAAAACATATTATTTTCCACATAATGTACATAATTGTTGCTCCTCTATGCCCCGCCTTTCTGAAACGCGTAGATTTTTACATAGCTCATCGTTCTGAAAAGCGAGGTGTATGCTGATTGGCCAGCTATCCAGTGCATTGTGATTGCGTAAACATAAAACCGTGTTTGGAGAAACGTCAAACAATAAGTGCTACTCTACACTGCTCAAAACTCGCGTTTGAATCGTCAGTGGCAAATTCTTTAAATATAAAAGACGTACTTACAGGCTGTGAGTTAGAATCGCCAGACTGTCCTTGCAAAGTTGGAATTGCCCCAATTTATAGAAACAGACATTGTAGGCTACTCTCACAGGAAACAGTCCTCATCCTCCGCAAAATGCGCTGCACACATCTGAATATTTGGGTTGTACTGTTCTGGAACAGTGTTGTAAATACAATTTAACCACTGATTTCTAGTTGTGTCCTCTTTTGGAAGGCCAAACAAAGTAGTTTCGCTTTCACAACGAAACACACAGTGTCACACACGGCGGCCTAGAGTGAGCGGCGGCCGGCGGGCATGAGAACGGTGCGGCCGGCGGGTTTCATTAAGGGGCGGCCGGGGGGGTTTGAAGGAGCGGCCGGCGGGCTTGTGGCAATCACATGTGACGACCCCGGCCTGGACTCCGCTTTGTCCACGGTGAAAGCCGATCCGGCGATTCACAGCGCGAAGTTTATGTATTTCCTCAGCGACCAGCACGGATCAGCTCTAGGCATGACGAAGCAGATATCATCCTCTTTTGGAAGGCCAAACAAAGTAGTTTCACTTTCACAACGAAACACACAGCGTCTCCACGACATGGTAGTGGCGGCAACAACAATACTACTGCGAGAATAAAAGTTACACCTTCTTTCTTTGCGTGAACATTTGGGCGGTGTTATGCAAATCTGACCACATTGTGACGTAGACGTGGAGGTGTGTTAGAATGAGCGTTTTAGGAGGGCGTGGTTGACTCTTAAATTTTATATACAATATCTCTTTGGATTTGAGACTTTAGTCTTTGCAACTTTACAGATCTTCTTTATGCACCAAGAGCTTGTAACACTCCAAAGAGAATTGAAATCGCATCATATGACCCCTCTAAGATAAAATAGTTTCCCTTGTAGTGGAATTTACAGTTAAAACCCAAGGACCAGATATGATGAATGAAGACCAGGAGTCAGAGATGCGATCAATTAAAGACAATTTTACTGAAGAAAATAGTTTGCAGAAGCCAGCTTCAATACTCGCAATGGAGTTCGTAGGCCGCTCTGCATACATGTAAAAAACACCAATAATTATACTCTAACAGAGGTCACTAATTACACTGAACAAAATTATAAACGCAACATTTAATTCACAGGCAGCAGCTCTGGTGGACATTCCTGCAGTCAGCATGCCAATTGCACGCTCCCTCTAAACTTGCGACATCTGTGGCATTGTGCTTTGTGATAAAACTGCACATTTTAGAGTGGCCTTTTATTGTGGCCAGCCTAAGGCACACCTGTGCAATAATCACGCTGTCTAATAAGCATCTTAATATGCCACACCTGTGAGGTGGATGGATTATCTCGGCAAAGGAGAAGTGCTCACTAACACAGATTTAGACAGATTTGTAAACAATATTTGAGAAAAATAGGCCTTTTGTGTACATAGAAAAAGTCTTAGATCTTTGAGTTCAGCTCATAAAAAATGGGGGCAAAAACAAAAGTGTTGCGTTTATAATTTTGTTCAGTGTATGTCAATACAGATCTCTTAAGTGATTATTTAGGCTAGAAATCAGGAGTCAGACAAAACCGGTATCTCCAGAGACCTATTCCTGGTCGGGGGGGGCATCCGATGACGAGCTTCTCCACCGACACACATGCCGACACACACAGAGAAAACGTATCTTCTGTTCAAGGTGGCCTGGCTCTGGCGAGAATCTTATCAGCATTCAGCATGGTTCATTACACACACTATGCCTGTCCCTTTTTAGAGAGTAAAAATACAGAATAACGCAGGATTATTTAATATTTATTATGCAACTACCAGTTAAATTGCTCAATAAGCAAGTTGCAAGCAATATCATAAAACAGCAGAACACATGTCGCAGTTGTCCCAATCACTGTCGCTCACGTACATGGGAGGCTACCCTGACCCATGGCACTGTGACCCTAGGAACAGAATAGACTTCAGCATGGAACTAAGTCAATCATCAAATAATCTAGGAGGTTAAATACTGATCAATAACTTGATTAATAAACACACAAGAAATAATGAAATAATATTATTATGAATGTAGCGAATCAGCTCATGGGAAATATGAATAACTAATCATAACTAGTTATAATTAATTATGAATATTTTAGATCCACTGTAGATATTTAGCTGACCTCTCAGGGTCAACTGTCTTGTCAATTCTAAGAACGTTAATTTCCTGGTTAAGGGAAATAACTTTCTTGCAGTGAGAGTCTCTCTGCTCACATTCCTCTGGGCAAGAAACCCAGTGATATCCGCATTGGTTGCCATGGAACCAGGGGCCTGTTCGGCTTCCTGGGGTGTTATGCATTTCGGGGGGAAGGGTCCATAAGTCCTCATATGGCTTGTTAACTGAGGGGTGTTACAGAGTATTTGTTAAATCTAGCTAACAAGATATATATTGTGTGTTTGATTGGTCCAGATGCTACATGAAGGATATGGTAGATCCACTCCTTCAGTCCCCCATTTTAGACCGGTGTGGGGTCCAATACCCCACATCTGGTCTACCAAGTTGAGACCAAGTTGAGATGCTCCCCTAACGGGTCACAATTGTCGCTCCACCCCATCATGGACATGCTGGACACTAAAAATCCAGTGCCCATGGGAGGGGCTCTCCCAACCCTTCCACTCACAACGGCGTTGACGTCGTCCTTGATCAACTGATGATGCAGGCTGGTTGTCAGCTTCAGCAGTCGCATCTCCTCCTCCAAAGGTTTCAGGTTCTCTGACGCTGCAGCAAAATCGTTCCTAGCTTCTTCCACAAATTCTTCTACGGAATCTGTCACATCTGTAAAGATTGCTCCTGCCATAAATGCAAACATCCAAGCTAACGCTAAAGCCGAGGGTTCTTAAGGATCTGATAGAAACGGTGATCCCGTAGATCTAAACCACAAATAATTCATATACTCCTATCCTGAAAACGCATCTGTAGTTTTAACCTATTTCATGAAATCATTAATGTATTTCTCGTTAGCTTGCTGCGATTTCAATTGAGGATAATAATCAGTAGCATTAGCGTTACAATACTCCAGTTCAGAACAATCACTCGGTTTACACTTATCAGAGGGGTACCAATCAGGACCAATAGCATGAACTATCTTATAGTACAGACAATGACTTGATCTAGACTTATAATGCAAATCTCTTAGCTCTTAAACTGAGGGGATGGGCCTTAAAAACTGACGAAATTGTTTTTCCCTATCAAACCATTCGTCTCCCATAGCAACATCAGATATCTGTGACCACATTTAAACTTGATGTGGTTGGAAATCTTTACACACTAAATCATCAATCGTCAGGGGTACTTACATTGTAGTTTTCCTACTAGCAATCTTTAAACACAAGTGAAACACATTCAAATGCATCCACGCAGTGACATTATAGACCATCGAGGTGGGGCTATAACACTTTCTTTCAAGATGGTCATGTAGTTGTTCCATTCTAATAATGGATTTGTTAGCCAAGAGAACGGTGATGTCGTACTGAAACAAAACATCTACAAAATTTGCCCAAAGGCATATGACACATATTTTTCAACTTCTATGATTATACTTCTTCAATGGCTGAAACAATTCTTCCATCAGTTTGCAGCCTCTTGCAACCCCTGCAAGCACAATCAAATATATTTTCCCTTTAAGGACTAAACAGGAACTGAATATCCTACAGAGCACTTAGTGCATTGTTGGCCTTCATGACCTTAGACACAAATGTCTTTGCCTGTCTTATACAGCTATAATGGCTTTTGGTTAATTTGGTCATATCAGAAAATGAACTCATTACTAGAAAAATACTTATTTATTCTCTGGAAGCTCGGCTAAATGAATCAACACTGTTATTGCATTCCTGAAATGGGTCAGACCCTCAGTCACCTCACAGATACCAAATACAGACATTGGGCCTCATTTATGAAACACAAGCAGAATGAATTTGTGTAAATCGTTCGTAAAGCTGTTCTGACGTAAACTTTCGAATTCATGAAAATGTTCGTATTTTCCAAATGTTAGTTAGTAGGAAAGAAATTTACACCTGCTCCCTACCACGTGTAAATGGTGCGTAAAACGTTCTTCTGTGTTCGTTTTGGCAAACTGATGACACTGAATTTGATGCACTGCCATTATAATAATTTACAAGGTAGTTTGCTTCGGGGTTTTTTTTTTGTAGCTGAAAGTCGATAAACTGTTTAGCTTTGGGTAAAACCATAGAGTAAAACGCAGCGCTTGTCACTGTCACTTTTTACCCAGCCATCCAATCAGTGGAGGAGGGGCGGGACAAATTCTACACGGACCAATCATCCTACTTGTACAACAACTGAACAACAATAGAGACGTTAATATTGCTGGATGCTGCATTTTTATATTCAGTAATATTCTTCAAAATGAGATACTAGTAATATCATCCTGCCGTGGATATTTCAAATCATAGCAACCAAAGCGTCTCTCAGCTAGAAAAACGCTGTGCCAAGCATTCTCCAGCACCACCAGCTGGCCGTTTTAAGAAGAGCGCCTGACAGTTTTTCAGCTGGCTAAAAACGCTTTGGTGGACACACGTTATTGAATATTTATTGTTAGGCATATGGCCTATTAGTGTTTTTTGCATTTATTCAATATACTGGAGCCAAACCTGAGAAAGTAGATTATGCTAATTGTGAATGAGCGTGCATGAGCGCCCTATTTACGAATGATTGGAATTCATTAAGACACACATGTTTAAAGGGGTCATATGATGCTTTTTTAAAGATCATTATTTTGTGTATTTGGTGTAACAGAATATGTTGACATGCTTTAATGTTCAAAAAACACATTATTTTTCTAATACTGTACATTATTGTAGGTCATCTATGCCCCGCCTCTCTCAAACGCTTCGTTTTCTACAAAGCCCCTCCTTCCGACAAGCGCAGTCTGCTCTGATTGGCCAGCTGACCCAGTGCATTGTGATTGGCCAAACGCGCAAGCACTCGTCGGAAATGTAACGCCCCTTACCATAATCGCGAGCTTCATCTTTCAAAATAAATGTAAAGACAGAGCCCGAAAGGGGAACAGAGTCACGTGACAGACACAGTGATGAAGCTGGTATGTGTTTGCAGTACACAAGCCACGGTTAAGACAGCTGACTCCACTGTGATGTGACCCCCCCCTCTCTCTCTCTCTCGCTCTCTCTCGCTCGCTAGCGCACACACACACACACAATGTGCAAAACTTTTGAACAGTCAATAGCAAATACTTAAACTAATAACAAAACAGTAGCTGATTCTGAAGCGCCAGATTGTCATAGCAAAGTCAGAATTACCTCCTCTCTTAGGTTCACAAAACGGTCATCCATAAAAATGCATCACTGTACATCACAATCTTAAAGATTCCTAAATGCATCTACTTTCAGAAGGCCAAATAAAGTGCTTTTGCTTTCGCCTAGAAACACACAGCATCACCCTGACATGGCTGCTTCAACACTAACTGTGGTTACTGAAACCACGCATTCTTTCTTTGCGTGAACATTTGGGCGGTGTTATGCAAATATTTCCACATAGTGAGGTAGATATGTGGGGGCGTGTTAGAACGAGCCATTTTGGGGGGGGCGTGGCTGAGTCTTAACTTTGATAAAGAATATCTTTGGTTTTGAGACTTTAGTCTTTGCAACTTCAGGGATCTTATCTATGCACAATCAGCGTGTAACACTCCAAAGAGAAAGGAAAACTTGAAATCGCATCATATGACCCCTTTAACTATCAAATCTGATGTGTACGAAGTGTTTGTAAATTTGGAGGAGAGTTTCCGGGAAGGTTCGTTTTACGTGCAAATTACTCAGAATTTACTCCTATATTTACGAATGTTTCATGAATGAGACCCATTGTCTATAACCTGAATAGTAGGATAAATACACTAGTTTTACAAAAACTACTATTTCCAAACCATTATACTGCAAGAAGAGGGATTGTAAATCCACTCATTCATTCCCCCATTAGAAACCATGTTGGGCTTCAAAACAA